TCGCAGTTGAGACAGATGACACTGTCGACCAGATGGTTGAATGTTTAATGGATATCAGTGCTCTCATGCACGAGGCCTACCAGATCCCGAAGACCAAGGATGGTAAAGATCAGGTAGCAGCTATGGTCACCAAGCTCCTAAGCCGTACCGAGATGCTCAGCGATCCTGAAGCCTTGCAAAAGGTTAAGGACGAGGCAGCCGATTTGGTTAACGAAGGTACTTGGGAGTATGAATCCGTTAGGGAAAAGGAGCACGTTCGTGCTGAAGCTAAGGCTTCCGGTGTCTCCGTCCATTTCGGTAAGCTAATGACCATAGCCTCCATTAAATTTTACGAGTTGGCAAAGGAGTTGCAGAAAAAGAAGGGTAGAATTGTCTACCGAGGTGACTGCGCAAAGGACGAACATGGCGCAGCAGCCGTCTATGAAGAATTAGGCGCAAATCCGACTTCGGTCCAAGGGCTGAACGCTTGCCTCGCGTACGGGTCACTACCTGGTAACCTGTGCACCGCCGCGGATGCGGTGAAAGCGTATGTGCAAGCAACACTAAAATCCAAGTATAAAACTTGGATCGAATTACCACCTGAACTTCGACCCGCGTGGTGGAAGAACAAATTTGTTCAACCAGTGGTCCTCCTTGTTAAAGCGCTGTATGGACATCCCGACGCAGGAGGGGTGTGGGAACAGCATTTAAAAGGCGTTCTTAAGAAAATGGGTGGCGAAGAAATCCCAGAGTTCCCCGGTAACTTCTGGTTTTCTGGTCCTCGTTTAATGTTATCTACATACGTTGACGACCTCACTTTGGCAGGCCCACGGGAACACCACCAAAAGTTTTGGTCAGAACTTACGAACGTTGTTAACGTTGAACCACCCGAGCCTATTTACAGAATGCTAGGAAGGAACCACATCTATGCGGTAGTCCCAGATTCAGGAAACACCGAAACCGCTGCTTTGCGCGGTAGTGCTGACGCCCTAATCTTCGACATGAAGGATTACGCACAGCAAACCATCGACCTCTACAAGTCGGTGGCCGGTGTTGAAAAGATAAAGTCAGCCCAGACGCCATTTCTCACAGACGGCGCATTCACCACGGCTGATGAGGAGTCGCCCGGAGAGCTCGCACCAAAGGCGTGTTCTATCCTGATGAAAGCCCTCTGGCTTGCTAGGTTAGCACGACCCGACATCCTTAAACCGATCAACGATCTAGCCACTAAAGTACAAAAGTGGACCCGTGTGCACGACAAAAAGTTGCTACGGTTAATACAGTACATTCAACACTCGCTAGACTATAGGTTGACCGCCGTCTGCGGCGATGATCCTAGTGAGCTGTGGCTAGAATTGTTCGTGGATGCCGACTTTGGTGGCGACCAACATGACGTGAAGTCCACCTCCGGTGGGTACTTAGTCCTCAAGGGCCCTAACACCCATTATCCACTAGCATGGGTGTCAAAGCGCCAGACCTCCACGTCAAGATCCACTACAGAATCGGAAGTAGTAAGCTTGGCCTATTCGTTGTATCAAGAAGGTCTCCCTTCATTGCAACTATGGGATAAACTTCTTGGACGAGCCGTTAACCTTGTCATACAAGAAGACAATCAAGCCACGATTCTGGTAGTAAGAAAGGGTTTTTCCCCAAAGCTCCGACACATCAGCCGAACACATAAGATAAACCTCAGTTCAATAAAAGAATGCATCGACGACCCATCTGTCGAGATTAAGTACATCGATACGAATGAACAAGCTGCGGACATTTTCACCAAAGCGTTGCCACCACAAAAGTGGTTCAAAGCGCTATGCCTGCTTGGCATCCGTACGGATTTAACGTGCTTAGTCCCATCTAAGACAGATAGGAGCCTTCCAAGCAGTTCGAAGCCTTCGTAGGTCGTCGAAACCGCCGCCGCCCGGCGCGGTAATTCGTGCATGTACAAAGTGTAGCTGCCCCACATCGGGGAGGGGGGAGTCATTTTTTGAGGACCCCTAGTATGTAACAGCTATTCACTACTTGTACATGTCTATCTATTTAGCTACGGTTCACAGGATGTCACAAACGTGTACGTCCAACCGTCACAATTTGGCTCAAGGAAAAGGTGCACTTCCGCTGCCCTTTTCCGCAGGGTGCCGTGCACACTGGACGGTGTCTGGGTGCACTTTCGCTTCGCTCTCGTGCCCTGCATTTCGTGCCTTTCGTGCTTTCGTTCGTTCGCCTGCACTTCGTAACCACGGGTACTCGTCCTTCGGACTCCCCCCGGGTAATAAAAAACATAGACCGTGCTTCCAGGGATCTAGCTTACTTCTTTTATCACTTACCTGTTGATAGGATAAGCTGGGCGTTCCGCTACGTCCCACCTGGATTGTACACTCAATTGTAGTATAAGTGATGATGTGATGGACGAGGATGAGACGGAGGGGAGGGAGGAGGTGTGTGTGTGTGGTAAGATGGCGTGCGTGTGTGTGTGTGGGTGTGTGATAAAGGGTCTGAGGATGTGAGATGAACAAGGATGAGAGGGACGAGAGAGAGAGAGAGAAAGAGAGAGAGAGAGAGAGAGAGAGAGAGAGAAGGAGGCGGAGAGAGAAGTTTGGAGGCTCTGGATTTTGCGATCAGATCCGCATGAGACCTTCACAGATGTTGGCCAGATCCGCATCAGATCCGCAAATGCAATCGGCGTTTCACAGATGTTGAAAAGAAACATGTCATGAAACCATGTAAGTAAGTGAATCAAAACATGTCTGCTGCAACCACGTGAGTTTTTGTGATGACAACCATGGCCAGAGAACTTTCAAAACAAGATTCAGAACAGTCGTGCAGGCTAAACTAGAGAACTGCAAATCACAATGGCAGTAGCGCAGAGACAGGCTTCACCAACACCCTCGCCGCAGCATTTAGAATGCGATTCGCAGGCATTGATTGCCCTGGCTGTGCAAATCACAATGGCAGTAGCGCACAAACACACTCTGCCAACTTCCGTGCCGCAGCCATTACAATAGGATTCCGAACCAGTGAGAACCCTTGCTGCGGAAATCACAATGGCAGTAGCGCGCAGAGACATGTTGCAAACATCCGTGCCGCAGCCATTACAATGCGATTCCGAACCAGTGAGAACCCTTGCTGCGCAAATCACAATGGCAGTAGCGCACAATCACAATGGCAGCCCCTTCTGGAGGCTCTGGATACTGCGCCTGCCACGCGGAAGGCAGCCAGCGGCACCAGCGGCGACAACGCGCGCCACAGCCCCTTCTGGAGGCTCTGGGTACTGCGCCTGCCACAAAGACAGCAAGCGGCGCCAGCGGCGACAACGCGCGCCGCAGCCCCTTCTGGAGGCTCTGGGTACTGCCCCTGCCACGAGGAAGACAGCAAGCGGCACGAGCGGCGACAACGCGCGCCGCAGCCCCTTCTGAAGGCTCTGGGTACTGCGCCTGCCACGAGGACAGCCAGCGGCACCAGCGGCGACAACGCGCGCCGCAGCCCCTTCTAGAGGCTCTGGGTACTGCGCCTGCCACGAGGAAGACAGCAAGCGGCACCAGCGGCGACAACGCGCGCCGCAGCCCCTTCTGGAGGCTCTGGGTACTGCGCCTGCCACGAAGACAGCAAGCGGCACCAGCGGTGACAACGCGCGCCGCAGCCCCTTCTAGAGGCTCTGGATACTGCGCCTGCCACGCGGAATGTTGAGATGATATGAGTGGGAAAGGTGAAGAGGATGAGGATGGTGATCTGTTGAGATGATATGAGTGGGAGAGGTGAAGAGGATGATGTGGAGCTGTATGTGTGTGAGGGTGGTGGTATGTACATGTGAACAGGATGATATGATGACAAGATGAGTGTGTGTGTGAGATGATGAGATGATTGTGTGTGTGAATGTGAGATGTGAGATGACAAGATGAGTGTGTGTGTGTGAGATGATGAGATGACAAGCTGAGTGTGTGTCAGATGATCACAAGATGATTGTTGATTGTGTGTGTAACAGAAGGACGGAGGTAAGGAGGGAGGGACGGACGGACGGAGGGAGGCAAGGACGGAGTCGGGCGGGATGGCAGCCAAAAAACTAGAACCCCACACAGAGATGTGGGGAAATATACATATATTTACATATATTTATTAAAGTAGTTTAGCCTCTAAAAAGTTTCTTGAAACATTCGGTGCGGAGACAGGTCACGTTGGAGAAGCCACATTTTCCCACGGAGGAAGAAAAGACCCTGGAGTGCCTCCGATTGTTTTATGATGCCCGTTCAACCGGATGTTCAACACGCTTGGCCCAAGGTACTGGCGCAAGATTGATGCCTTCCAAGAGTCTTTGAGACAATCCAAGGGGAAGCTGCACCCTCAAGGAATCGCAGCACAGAGTACCAATTAGTGGTGCATTCAAGTTGCGACTGAGGCCGGCATACAATTTCTACGACGGTCCGCCGTTTGCAACTGGCTTACCCCACTATGGGCACATTCTGGCTGGCACCATCAAGGTGTGCGCTATATTTATGGATGAAGGTCACGAACACGCTTACATAAGGTTTTTGCACAGTGACAAATGGGTGGACAGTGTCTTTTATATAAATCTTTGCAAGTTAATGGGACAGATGTTCTTCCTGTACTTTGCTCCAGGATGTTGTTACCAGATATGCGCATCAAAGAGGCTTCCATGTAGAGAGAAGGCAGGAGATTTGCAGATCCTACCTTAAAACTCTGCATTGATCCTCGGACAATGTTTGACAGATTCATCAGAATAATTTCTTTGAGTCTTAGAATTCTCAGAGCATGCCGTGAACTCCCCAGCATTTACCGTTTTCAAGCAGCGCCTGCTGCTGGTGCATTTACAGAGAACAGTTACAGTATCTGCCAGAAACCACATTTGGCACTTTTCTACATTCTACAGACTCAGACACCCATGTATACCATGATCTCATGCCAATATTTTGGTTCGTGGACACACACATATATATATATATAAACACATATGAGTTACAATCTAGGCAAATGAGAAACATCACGAGACATCAAAGCTTATTGGTCCCATGGCATTGGAGCTTATTCCTTACAAGGATGAGAAGCAGACACTTGGTCCATGATGTCTATGGGGTGAGGTCTTTGCAATTGAGATGAAAGGGATTTCTTGAAAGCATGGAGGCCATCCCTAGTAGGTTGGAGGCCATCGCAACGAAAGCAGCGAGAGCGATTGTCGCTAAGGGACTTTTCAGCCACGGGGGCCAAAGCTGGGGCATTGTGCAGCACTACTCATGTCGACTGCCACTTGGTCATACCTGTCCAAACCTCAGGACTTTGGCTTCTTCGGCTTATGCCGAACATAGCACTTTGAGCTGAAAGCCTTTCAGTTCTGTCATTTTTCAGTCTTTGTTGCTGAATCATGATCAGCTTTCAACTTCAAGAAAAGGGATGCATCGATTATTTGCACTTTGAGGGCACGCAGGAAGTCTTGACGCTGCCACTTCAAATTTGCACCAAGATTCAGGCGCAAAACAAAGGGAACCACGCCACGTCGATAAGTTGATGAAAGTCGACACCGTCATTGATGATCTTTTGTAACCGTTGAACTTCAACTTCACTCAGGAATTGAAGCATGCTTTGCCGGACACTAAAGACACCTTGTGTTTTTCAGGTTCTTTCATATCTGGTTCCCGATGTTTCCTGTTTTCCAATTGGGATTGAGGTCTGCAAAACTTGGCTACATAGAGCACAGCGAGATCAGTTTTGTAGTCAAGCAGGGCTGCACCTACAAGCGTTTACAGGAATCTGACCAGGCGTGAAGATACACAGGGCTTGAAAGACCTGGCATGAATCAATGATATCGCTAGGAGTAGCAAAGGGCATCACTACTAGGAACCCGGGCATCGCTACCAGGAGCAAGAATGCTACTAGTAGCGATGCCAGGAGCCCCTAGTAGCGTCCTCTACCCCCTCCCCCGCGCGCGCGCGCGCGCGCGCGGGCGCAAGGGCTTCTTGTTCTACTTCTAATTACTGTAAGTTTAAATTCTAATTCTAATCCTTGTTTCTAATAGCTTTTTGTTGCTAGTAGTAAGGCCAGGAGCCCCTAGTAGCGTCCTTGCTCCTAGTAGCGATGCCAGGAGCCCCTAGTAGCGTCGTGTTCACCTGCCAAAGGTGATGAAGAGAATGTCGGTGCACGGGATCAAGTCTTTCAGACCCCCGCGGCATAGATATCCACATCCATATGGAATTATTGGTGTGCCACAGCTGAAACTGGAAAGCTGGAAGAAGGAGCTTGGAAGCCTTTTGCCGTTTGGGTTGACTTACCTAAGGCTGGCTACAACGGCATCAAGACAGCATTGTTTTTGCTGAGAGCTTCTTGCCTTGATTACATTGATGCGTTATCTGCACAAGTGGCTTGTGTCAGAAAATCACAAATTGTTGCATTTTGAGGACAATCAGAAAGACTTTACCATTTTCGATCGCTATGACAAGGTGGGAAATTTCTTCTTGACAGCGACGCACCGGTGAGGTGTTTCGGCAAATCACAGGTCGGTGGCCACGCCTGGCTGGAAAGTGCGAACAAAACAACCAGGTGCCAAAGGGTGAACCAATTGCTTTTTGTGTAAGAAACAGTCAGTTTCTTTTAAGATCCCTCTCCCCCCCTCCCTACTTAATTAAGTAGGCGCCTACTTTTCATATTGGAGTTTTTGCAATTCTCCAGAGGCTGCAAATTGAGTTTGCGACCTACCATATTTGGTATGGTCAGGACAGAAAATGCTACCCTTCGTCTTCGCTTTTGGACTAGTCAGAGAAGAGAACTAGACTTTTTGACTTGCTTGGACTCCTGCAGGACTTCTCTTACCCTGGCATTGAAAAGTGTGGAGGGCCCCCAGTGGTCCTGTCCTTGGAGTTGGACATATCAATATCCTTAAGTTTCCCAACCAAAATCGAGCCAAATCATTGGCACGAGCTATCCCGCGTCCAGTTCCTAGTAGCCGCAAGCTACTAGCTACCTAGCGACCTCCGCGGCCTACCCCCCGGCTAAAAAGAGAAACAACAGAAAAAAAGAGCTACCACTAGCTTCCTCTCAAGAGTTTGTGAGCTCTTCCAGTCACAGCCGAGTTCGAGGATTGGGAAGTTTGGCCAAGCAGAGATCGCGTCATTGAGCACTTCGAGCTGTGTGCTCGAGACGGGGTTTTCAGTGAGAAATACAAAGATGTCAATGCGCTCCATGCTTCACGCTTGCGTGTTGAGCAAACCTTCAACTATGACTCATGACTGCATTTTGGAAGGAATATGGCATATACGCGCATTGCCAATTGAGTGTGGACGTGGAGCGCAGATGGAATCGCTAATCGAAGCATGAGCTTTTCAAAGTTCCACAGTTTTGCTGCTTCATTGTGGCAGGAGTCCGTCGATCTGATTGGCAGGGAAAAGAAGGATGACCGAGCGTTCCAGCTAAGCTGCCGCCCGGTTCCTTGGAGGAGAACAAGGCAAACGCAAAGAGACATGCAATGCTGACTTGGCGCTGTTCACTTGAAGACTCGACCTTTCGGAGCTCAGGTTCTGCCACATCGCAAGGAGTGCTCAAGCATTCAAATTCCATAAACCGTAAACCAATGTTTCTTTTTCCGGAAGTTCACTGAAATAGGACAAGCCCATTTCCCTTGTTGTGAACAGGACTGCCAAGGAGGCGAAAAGCTAGATCACCAGGAACAAGCCACAGAAGCTGGGCTTCTTGGATGCAAACACGCCATTGCAGTGCATCCTCTTTGCAGTGCTGGCGAGGTATGCAGGGGCCTTCCGGACGGACAAAAGCCGAAAGTCTTTTGTCTTTACCTGTTCCTGCTACTGCATTTGGCCTGGAAATTTGATCAACCCACGGCAAATTCAATATGTTGGAGAGGCCAGGGCAGACGAGCAGACGGCAGAGCTGTGAAGCTTAGCACATGAACTACATCAATCATGCCAGCCTGAGTCAGCCTGTGCTTTAAACCTGTGTCATAGCTACTAATGCTAATTCTTGCTACTGGTAGTGCTACTTACCAGTAAGCTATAGTAAGCTATGGTAAGTCACTAAGCTGCAGCTACACACTTCAGCTCCTCCGCCCCCAAGTCTCGGGCTAAACAGAAACATCTTCACCTAAGCTGTCAAGCTGAAGTGCTGTGCTCTTTTTCCTTGTTCCCTTTGCAGGAGCTCTTCGATGGATTCATCGAGTATGGTGTTGAGATGAGGTGCGACTACCAGAACGTGGTGGGGAAAAATGTCATCATCCATGGGCATGGTGCCTTTACGATGGAGCTGCCCGGCTATGATTGCAGCTTTTGCTACTCGAAAGCTTCAATCCCTGGAAACCAATCATTTTGTAAAGATGGTACCTCATTTGCTGCCTTCGACGCGGACTCTTGCGACAATGTTCAAGAGAGCTTGACTGACCGCAACGCTGGGAAGATATTGAACATGCAAATGGTCTTTGCTGCCAACTGGAGAACATTGGACACGCTCTACTGCTCTACTTTGAAACGTCGAATTCAGGTGTGAATGCGCGAAAAAAGATCTTCGCTGCACAAAGACCTGCAAAACGTTCTGAACAAATCTTAAAATCTTTGCCACAACCACAGACAGGCGGACGCGATTGCGGACAGAAGATGACTTGTGAAACATGAGGAGGGCTTTGAGTTTGTTCACTGATCAATCCAAAGTCACCGTGACGACCAAGGAACATCCGTACCTGCTGTGAATATGGTATGAAGCACATATACCTCGTTTGCCGAAAGCGGAATCTAACCTGCCCAAGAGTGGTCTCCTGGTTCATCAACCAGGCTGTCCACTTGTTGAGTGAGGATGTGGCAGCCAGTGTGACAAATATTCGAATATATTGTTTAGACTTGTTCAGAAATGCAAACTCGCCATCAAACAGTAGCTCCTAGTTTGGGTAGAATTGTCTATCTTTTTCCTAGACATCTCACAGTGCTTTGCTGTGAATGACAGGCGAGCCCACCAGTTACTGGAGCTCATTGCTTGAATCTTCTCAAGGTGGCATACAGGCTTTGCAGCTTGACTCCGGAGTGTATTCATGGTAAAGCATGTCACATTTTTGAATGACACTGGGTATTGCTTTTTATATGTAGAATTTGCTTTTCAGCTCGTTTTCACGTTGAAGATGTTGACATGGGAAGGCCATTGCTCGGGCTGAGGTGGCTATGATCCGTGGGACATGCATTCTGTGAGTTGCAACGCTGCACGGACAAATGCTTCTTTTGCTCAGAAGACACGCTTCGGTATCGGAGACGTGTACTTCTTGGCTGCTGCATATGGATTGATGGAAGTTGTGGTGGACAACATCAAGAGGTGTAGCTCCAGAACAGTTCATTTGGAAAGCGGAAGGAAGCTGCAAGACGTCGATGTGATCTTGAAATGCGTGGGCATGCTACCAGACTCTACAGTAGACAAGGTCAACAAGATGAAGTTCTTGCGAGGCTGCTGGATCAACGGTGATCCCCGTCGTTTTACGGTCTCTGACCCGGACGGAATTTATGCCGCCAACTTTGCAGCAACGACCATTGGCCCAGGAGACCAGGGATTTTTTGTTTGCTTGAGCACTCTTCAGTCCTGGCAAACACTTGCTGTTGTCTCCGAAGTGTAACGGGCTGTGACACTAGCAACCTCCCTGCCCCTTGATCCTCGAGTGGGAACGGGTACTGAAGGCTTGAGAAAAGGACTAAAGATGTACTATGAAATACTGAAGCTAGCAGAGAGACACCCCAAGGCACCACGCAGAGTAAGACAAACACTTAGAATACAAGCTCAAGTGAATGAACATAACTTCAGACACTGAATCAACGAGTGCAGTAACCGCTCAGTAGCCCTTTAAGATTTGTGCAATTAGACCTTGGCTGAGTAAAACGGAAAGGTGAATGAGTCCGCTCTCAACTGAAAGGTTTCAACACGCGGGCAGAAAACCGCTGCAAAGGCTGGAAGAAATTGTTCTAGTTATATAAAAGCAGGGACCAACAGCATGTGACCCACCAGCTGCACTTATATAGATGCCCAGGTGCGGTCAAAAGTAGGTACGTTTGCAGAAACACTGCGTGAGCATCTTCGTTGGCTCTCGTCTCACGCAGGCTCCAAGAGCCCCCTGCTGACTAAAAGTTCGATGGTTAGAATGTTCAAAGGGTGTGGTGTGAGGCCCTTTGGGACAGGGGTTGACACACAGACACACACACACACACATGAAGCCCTGCACAATCGTTTGATGTTCTAAAATGAACACATGGTTCATTTACCGTGGCGACTTGCAGCACGAACCCGTGCTTGATTTGATTCCAGTGTCAAATGTAGAACATACATCGGAAATCATTAATGAAGGCCTGAACGGGGTGTCATGTTGTGTGCAGGAAGCGACTGAGGCTCAAGGTCCAGAAGCTTGCTGAGTTTGTTTCAATTTTTGCTTGGATACAAGCTGGCGGGGCCAACTGCCAAGGACTTTTGCCGCGTGAATCCGATGGATCATAGGCTGTTTGCTTGGTGAAGGTTGTGGGGAAAAAGCTGCACCTCTGACTGTGGGAATCGGGTGCTTTCTGTCTGTGCACGCAGTCCGCTTGCTTGGCTGTACATCCAGAACCCCCTCAAATTGAGCTCGTGAAGTAATTACCATACAATGTTCAGATTTCATGGCGGGAGAGGAAAGTTCGGGGAAAGGCGTCGGCCAGCGTCACCTCCTCCCCGGATTTGTTTGGGACACAAAGTAAGGAACTCTCCATGTTCTGAATTTTCTGTTCTGACTTAAGAGGTCATACGGGTGACTGGACAAATTCAAGAACTTAACTTATTCTTGAACTTATTCTTGTGAAGATTTCTTTCAAACGGACTTCAGAATCAGTTTGCTTGCAATTGAGTCAAAACTCTCAGGAGATATAATATCAATAATTCTCCTGAGCCCAAAGTTTGCAATTTGACAGTCAAGTTCAATCTTCTGGTGATTTAGTTTACTTTCAGACAAAGTGCGTACTGTAATGTTTTTTCCGCAAACAGTGTGTACACACTTAGGGGTTCTTACGGTAGGTGTTAAGCAGGGCGTGTGCGGCTATTTCGCCGCTAATTACAGTACATTCACGCCTCTCGCACTCCACACTCACACTCTCTCCCTCTCCCCCTCGCTCTCCCTCTCACTCACGCTCTCACTCACACTCACACTCACTCACTCACCACCACCGTCACCGTCACCACGATTCCCGCCTTCATAACCACCATCACCTCTCTGGGCCCCAATGCGAGTAGATCTCTACACTACACTTATGACTTGCTGCTTATAGACCTCACACACACACACTGTTTGGGGTCTCTTGCCGGGATAATTTTTTCTGGAGGACTAAACTCTGTGAACGCGATAATCCTCCAGACAAATTGAATAGCTTTTTTTTGACCATGAACACCAGGGAATGAGATACACATTATTTGCGACAGGTAGACTATTTAATGGCCCAGTTAGTGCAAATTCCTTACCTTCATTGCACGTGTTGAGTTCTTCAGCCCTCCAGATTGAATCAAACATCCGGCGAACCGAACAGAGTGCTCCTAGACCAACAGATTAGATCGTGGAAAGCACGCACGTTGCCAGGGGTGAGGAAGCTCTCTTCAGATTTGGACTAGTGCACGCGTAGTTTCAGGCCACATTGCGGCAAAATGCACCTCTTGAGGATTTGGTCTAACTGAGGTTCGTTCACTTTGTCATTTTGTCACTCTGTTAGTTTCCCTGAAAGTCAACCAAATGATTAGTGCAAGAACAACAAGCTATAACAGGAGCATACAACTGGGTCCAGCTGATGAAGCACGTTTGGGATTGCCCCAATGAGTGGATTCAGTTGGATGAAGCGGGTCACCTCAATCTGCCTGAGCACTATGCCGGTGATCCGGACCCAGACACACCCGCGTATTTCATCAACGCCAGGCCCCTTGACCCAATGTGACTGTCGCCCTTGAGTTCTGGATTCTGAATTTTGAGAGATTGTTAAAGTATTCTAAGGATTTAGAATGAACATTTCTTCGAACACGTTTCGAAGGGATCTTGAGAATTCTTCGCGTTGTGCCAATATGAGCGGCACCCAAGTCTTGGAACCAAAGGCACTCGGTGGGCACGATGTTCACCTACTCGATCGTGAGTCCTGCCTACAGAGAAATGACTACCCACTTTGATACGTTTCTCGGCGGCATGGGATCGTCGCCACATGGGCTTATTTAGGTTTAGCTCAATGAAGCGCACGGGTCTCAGAATATTTGGCAAAGCTCCGAAAAAGCTAGTTGCTCCATCAAAGGTTGTCTTTTGCCAACATCATGAAGAACAGCTGATTGTATGTCCTCCCCTGAATAATGGAGCACCCTCTCAAGCTACAGTTTTTTCTACTTGCTTGCCATTATCTTGTCCATCTCTGATTACTTTTTGCCTCTTGAGTAGGGCAAACTGTCTTTCTTGAGTTGGATTTTCTCTGCATCGTTGGGTGAAGTGGACAGTTGCATTTGAGGTACAAGCATTTCATTGTCGCGGCCTTAAAGCTCAGCTTTAGACCATATTTTCTGGAAAAACATGACGCGAGCAGCTGAGCAATCCTGCTGAAGCAATTGTTGCTGCTTGGCCTTTGAGCCTCTTGAGCCCAAAGGCCCATCATTGCTGTCCTGTTGACAAGCTCCTTACAGCTGCGCTGGCTGAATGGAACGAGTATGAGAGATCTTGGAGGCATCCGTTTCCGTTAATGTGTTGTTATGCAGTAGACTGGTAGACTCTGGTAGACTTCGCACGTGTGCTGATTGCAGGGAGAAGGGTATGGTTCCAAAGGATGCTCCATACATACCGTCCTTGGTCAGCATTTACAGTATTTGCTCTAGGTCAAATTCAAGGTTTCAGCAGACGCTTTTGGAATCTTTTGGAAGCGTTTTTGGACCTAGGTATCCCTACACCAAGGAGTACATTGCGGAGCAGCATGAGGCCAGCAAAGAGGTACGCCAGTTTTGACCTTTCCAGAGATTCTACCAGGTTCATCAAGCAGAAACTGGTCAAGTGGAACGGAGTTTGGCGATTCAGAGGAGCCAGGGGTACTAAAGGAAGAAGTGGCAGAAGTTGTTTGGTGAAACTCAATCCGAGCTCAAATGTTTGCAGGAGCGGATAAAACCACAAAAGAGTGATACGAAGAAAGAGCCGTGCGCTTTGGAAAAAACTTTGTTCTGTTTGGGACCTTTTGAGTGGACGTCTCGATCTTACAAAGAGCTCATCACGTTGGACTTGGACATGGATTCACCTAGAGGTTCCTGGCGGGCAGGTTTGGTTGGGACTGCCATGGGCTTCCTGTCGAGTACGAAATCGACAAGAAGCTCAATATCAAGGCGGACCAGCTCACCGGGCTTTTCTAGTTCCGGGATCTGCTGGCTTTGTGCTGAGCCAGGGACATCATGACGTGCTTAAGCTGGGCATCGGCAAATACAATGAGGAGTGCAGAGGAATTGCCAGATACCCAGTGACATCTACACTTTTTGTGCTTATCGCCATTCGTGGACAGGAAGGTGTGTGTCTTGGCATGTGTCAAAATTCTAGCCCAAAAATCTAGGAACCAAATCATGAGTGTGAGGGCTCCTTCAAGTAAGCTCCCGCTGCCCCCAGGCGGGGGGAGCTTCCTTGAAGAAGCATGAGCTATCCTGCGTCCAGTCACTAGAAGCTTGAGTATTGCTAGCGAACTAGTCGCCCTTACTTAATTAAGTAGGAGGTCGGCCCCCCAAAAAAACAATTGTTGGGATTCATTGAGGGAACGTAGACCTGTCACTTCTTTTCGCTTGTCACGTGTCACGTCGATGTCACCGGTCCGTTTTCACAGCTCAAGGTTCAGAGATTCACCTCTGAGTGGAGGCGCATCGTGGAACGATTTGGGTTCGGACCTTATTAGCTTATTTGTTGTCCGAACCAACACATGGATTGTCTTTGCTTTTGTGATGACGATTTTGAAGTCTTTTTCCCTCGTGATCCAAATTGAGGTGAAGGTGTGAAGGTATTTTATAATTTGCTATCCTGTGTTGAACTAGGGTTTTGCTCTCTGGCAGATTGTTGTGAGGCGCTGGATAGATTTTGACAATGACTACAAGACCATGGACAGAAGCTTTATGGAGAGGTGCCCACAGACATTGACAATTATGCCTTGAGACATATGTATCTATGTATCTATAGCACCTTCAGTTCAAGACCAGCTTTGCATAGCAAGGCAGCAAGATACAGCAAGGATACTGGAGCAAAGGGTCAACCCTGAAGTGATGACTGAAACATTCAGTGAACCTGTACCTCTTTGATCATTTGCCAGCTGCTGGTGGGTCTTCAAGCAGCTCTACGACAAGGGGCTTGTCTACAGGACGCTCCAAGTCTTCTGGAGACAAGACTTGAATCTAGCTGGGAGCGTAGAGTGAGTAGAGCTTGGTTGGAGTTTGTCCATGATGCGAACTTCTGGCATCTTCTAATTTGACAACACCTGTAGCTCAAATCCAAATCAACAACCAAAAGGCAAGCTCTTTGAGTCCTTTTTATACAGGTACATAGGATGCTTTTGTTGACAATCATATTTCATCTGCAGGGCTTTCAGAGTGATGCCCTACAGCACTGCCTGCACAACGCCGCTCTCCAACTTTGAGGTGGATATTCTGCAACAAAGTGCTTCAAAAACCAAACTTCTCCACTGTCTTGTTGATGGATACTCAAACACTAGCACTGACTATCCACTACTGCAGGTGTCACAAAACTACAAGGAGGTGTCCGACCCCTCCATCATTGTCCAATTCCGGCTTGCATCTCAGTACACATTATGCTCTTTGCAACCTAGAATCTAGAAGTTAACATCAAAATTCAAGAGCTTTGCATTTGCGAGGCTCGTGGATGAGGAGATTCCTCTCACTTTTGCACCGTATTTGCTTGATTTGATTGTGCTATCAGATCAGGTGACGGTTGAGGGTTTCTGCAACTTGCTGGCGACTTTGTTGTTCTGGGGACAGATTCTTTTGCAGGAAAACTCCTACGTGCTTGCCTGGACAACGACACCTTGGACCCTGCCTTCAAACTTGGCCTTGTGTGTCAACCCTGAGTTGAAGTGCCCCCATTTGACGGTACCGTACCGTACCGTACTGATTTAATTATATAATATTATATATACAGTAGACACTTTAAAATATGGGATGCCAAAGATTCAGAATGCGCACCACAACGTGTAAAAGACATTTTCAGCAGAATAGCTCTCGCACAGGTACCTTCAGGTTCAAAGCAAAGCCACTGGTACGAAATGGATTGTCGGGAAGGACCCTGCAGCGGGACTTGTCGAAATGGAGTATCCGGCACTTTATTTACGGCTGGCTCAAGGGAGTGTGTCCTGACAAAGGTGATGCACTCCTTCAGGACAGATGGCCATGGATATGCTCTTCAATCAAGAAAAATGGAGAGAAGGCCAGCATCGGCTGAGGCAAATGGAGACGAGAAGTGCTCAGCGCGATGTCTTTGACCAGTCATCGGATTAATCGCTTGTTGTTGCCTTGAAGGACTTTACAGTTTTGTGGGAGAAGAAGGCCGGGTTTTTCTCAGCTACCAAACCAGCACAAAATCCAAGTGCTTGTCTTTGGCAAAGTCAAGTCGATAGGGATCGGAGCTCAAGGGCATCAAGTACGAGCCTCTCTTTGACTTTTTCAGGGGGAAGGCTGCGAAGCCAAGCATGGACGATATTCTGCGTGTTTTGGGATGCGGAATACATGTTGCTACAGACTTTCAGGCGCTCGGATCAGCATGGCAGATCTTGACTGACAACTATGTCTCCACAGAGGCTTTTGTGATGGAAGGTTGAAAGCATACTCAGATCTAAGCAGTCAGGCTGGCACCTGTATCGTTCATCAAGCACCAGCTTTTGGAGAGGACTTTCTTGTCACTCCGATAGGGCATTACTACTAGTAGCTAGAAGCTATTAGGTCGGAGGCCATCGCAAGTAGGTTGGAGGCCGTCGCTACTAGTAACAGTAGGAAGTGAGTTGGCAGAGTTTCAGTGAGCTGTCCGGCTCAAGGACGACAATCGGGTTTGCCTTGCAGCCGGAATCATCCAGAAGGCACCAAGTGCAACAGCTCGCATGTCTTCGTGTACTGTTCACACACCAGGATGGTACCGGCATGGTCCATCCAATCGACGACAGTGGCTGCTTCACCAAGGAGGCTGGCTTCGTATTGATCTAGACAGGATTCAATGTCTAGACTGACCAGTGACCCTGGCTGCGCTTTAGTGGCTACATTCTTGAGACAGGTTCCAGACTTCCTTGGTCAACATGTCAAAGCCGCTGACAAAGACATCAAGGTGAGACTTCTGCTGTCGATTCGAGGGCGTGCAAGCTCAAGCAAGAATGCTACTAGTAGCGATGCCAGGAGCCCCTAGTAGCGTCCGATCGCTCCTCGCTCTAGGAGAAGCTAAAGAAGGAAAACAAGTTGGTCTTCAATGGCACCGAGGCACCGAGAAGGAACTGAAGAAACTGAAGGAAGGAACAATAGGCGGTAAACATTGAACGCTCAGAGGTAAATTTTGTGATCAATAGGATTTAAAGTGATCATAAATGGTTGGGTATACCTCCACACACATTTGAGATGGCAAGATGCAGAGAAGAACCCCCCAATGTCTCCACCTGCAGTCCATCCAAGCCCCAAGCACCCCGTAGCACATGCTCGAAAACTCTCTCACTAGAAATGATTCCTGACACCCCAAGGCCTTTGCTGCACTGCAAGTTTTTGTTGTTGCCTTTTCAATATTCTCAGCCCAGTGGCGGGCTTCGCTGGTGCCTTTCTATGTACAACAGCTACAATGCATGCCTGGTCAACGGCCCGTTTTTGATTTGGAGCTGACTTCATTGAAGGGATTGAAGGTGTCCAATTCCACTTGCTATCAAAGGCTGTCATAAAAATATAATATAAAGGTAAATCCAGGCACCCTGCCTCTTTGCTTCTTCGGTGGTAAGAAAACCCGTACATGCAATCGAGACCTATGCTTTGAACATGCATTCCAAGCTAATTTTTTCAGCATTCAAAGCCAACAAGTTTTCGTGATGCAAAGCATCTACTGTTGAATCACCAGCACTACTTGAGTATCGGAAGCACCAGGTGCACAACTATCCGCACTGCTGGCGTTCTGATACGCCATTAATTTACAGAGCAGAGAGCTGAGGTGCAAGCATATCAGTGTTTAGCCAGGTACTCGTAGCTACTTGCTCCTAGTAGTACGGCCAGGAGCCCCTAGTAGCGTCCTCCAGGAGCCCCTAGTGAGTGCAGATCTTTTACATCAGTTCTGCCAGGTTAGCAGAGTAGAAGGACTGGTTTCCATGCTTGATGCAGCTGGATGTAGCCAAGGCCATCCCCAGCTGGTTCATCAAGGTGGAAGAGGCCCGTGAGAAATTGATCGCCAACAACAACCAGACGCTCCTTGGCCCAAGCTGCATGACTCATTAATTTCTTCATTTTCTGCGCTTCAAAAAGGACTTATGATGATTGATGTGTTCTTTTTCTTTTAAGTATCCATGAATGTGGTGTACATGCTACACTGCTATGCTGTGTACGGTCTGCGGACTCGCTGCCGCTCATGGACAGCCAGCTTTCGGACTGGCTAAGGTACTGGGTCCCAAGCTTCGTGAAAGAAAAACGCTTCCACAATTGGCTGACAGAGGCGGGGTACCATAGCCTGACAGCATGAGCGCGAAGCAGCCAGGATTAGTGTCACACTGATGATACAAGATAACCGATGTCTTCAGCACAAGGGTCTGAATATGAGAGATGTGAGGTGAGTCTCATTTTGGAAACGGAAAGGCCTTTCTGTCTAAGGTATGATCCTTCTGACTATTTCAAAGACCTCAGAATGCGTACCTTACTCCTCTCTGCACAAGTGGTAAGCAAAAAACCATGCAACGTGCTCAAATCGACCTTCATGCAACTTTCACTTCGAGCTGCTGAGGCCAGGGACTGGTGTGTCTCACGAAATCGCTACTGGGGGACGTCACTTGTCAACTGCAAAACTTGTCCTTTTGTTCTCATCACCATTAGGAGCAAGGACGCTACTAGGGGCTCGTGGCCTTACTACTAGGAGCAAGAAGCTACTAGGAACAAAGGGCATTGCTACTAGGAGCAAGGACGCTATTAGGTTGGAGGCCATCGCTAGTAGGCACTTGATCTTCACATTCGTACTCCCAGAGATTCAGTCGTTTGAGCTCGTTGAGCCAAGGCCGATCCCTCTTTGGGTCTCCTCTGATTTTGAGGAGGTGGGTTGCTGTTAGGGTACTGATTGGCAAAGGGGTATAGTGAAGCTCGCACTCTCAACCCATGGTTTGGAATATTTTTTGCTGACCGTGGTTATTGTAACTCTCCTTTTTGTCAGACACTTCACATGGAAGCGGGATGAAAAGGGGGCACAAGGATCTAACGAATGCACGAGAAGTAGGCTTGGTGTCACTGAATCAAGTGCGAAAATTTGTAAAACAATTGCAGGTTGTTTGCATTGGCAGCGTTGCCGAGCTTGAACAGTTTGCTGGAAGAGAGATCAAGGTGCGATGTGACTCCACAAGTCCTTGCTTTGGCTTTGGAACCGAGCTGTAGACACGAATAGCCTACGGCTTATGCCATTCTGAGACCCCAATCTGTGAACCGTGGCGTCAGTCTCTCGAGGACCTCCATAGGCACTTCATTGATGACATCCAGCGCCATCGACACCATTTGCGCTGACTTATGACTCAGATGCTGACTGTGCAACAAAGCGCTGGACAACATTCAATCAGCTAAAGAATTGCATCTCAGGGGTTTGTTTGAAGACGCACCAAGCACTTTCTCTGCAATGGAACCGATGTGAGTGCCACTTTCATGTCAGGATTCCTTCTCAGAAGGGCAAGGGTATGCTCAAGCGGGTGGACGAGGCATGAATGTTCATAAAACGACAGTCTGAGTTTAGGAGCCCCTAGTAGCGTCCTTGCTCCTGTTGCTTTTGAGTTGGACCTTTTTTGCTTATGCGATGTATGCAGCCGATATCTCAAGACAACTTCGTCATGGCCCTTCGCCGGACACTTTGCGCTTTGCTAGTCACTGCCACTGCCCATGGCCCCGGCCAGACGGATGGTCCAAGATATAAACCAGAGATGATGGACTTTCCTGGATGCTCTTCCTCAAGTTATGTTTATTAATGTTTATTTGTGTATTTACCTTTTGGAGGTAGGCCGGGAAGTGGAGAGCTAACAAGCAGCTAGTAAGGGGTATATAGTAGGTAGTGGCCATTAAGTCAGGCCGCTACTAAAGAGGGAAGCAGAAAAGCTTTCTTCAAGAGCCCCTCGATTTGGTTGCTAGATTTTCGGGAAACATAAGATATCACATTGATTGTTTACATCTTAAAAAGCATAACTCAGCTTTTCTTAGGTGCATTGGTAAACACACAAGCTAGAAAAAATGTTGAGAGTGGTATGTGCCTAAATCGCTGTTGCAATGTGTGCAAAAAACTTAAGGATATTGCGAGATTTAAGATTTAACATTGTTGCTTTGATATGGCAGGCTTTAATCAGAAGCATGTTAGCTTTCACAATTCTAGCAAACAGTTCTATTTGCAGACGACTTAGGATTCATCAAGGAAATGGACAAAGATGGAGACGGTCTACTGTCTTTGGACGAGGCTGTGAGGAGTATCACAGAGATAGAAGGACTGGAGGATCCTGATCATCCAGACGCCTTGGCGGAACGAGACAGACATGTGGAGAAGCTTAAAGAAAACTTCAAGAAGTCGGACTCTTGGCATCTCTTGGCATCTCTTGGCTATTGTTTCATCACTCCAGTTAAGCAGACAGAATTTCGAAAATATGTACTGAACAATTAAGGTTTGTACTTCAAACAAACAGTTGCAAAGGATTAGGACGCCTTTGTTCGGAGAGGGCCAGTACAAAATGGTTCTGAGGATGATAACGGTGATGGAAAGCTTACTTTCGAAGAGGCCTTGGTTTTGCTGAAGCACTCTGGCGGCATTGACGTGCTGTGGGTGGAGAATGCATCGTATCATCGGAAAAATGAGCTGTGAAGGAAAGAACCCACACCTGGAGTCAACGGCGTGCCGAGTTTTGCACACTGTTGTCTCTGGTGGTTCACTGATAGGTTGCAGTAGTTGTTGCTAGTTGTCAGTCCAACAGTGACTGACATGCTGCAAGCAGTTGGAATGGCAATGCCCCCCAGTTGAGAAAAACACTCATCGGGGGTTGCAAAGCCTGCGAGTAGTTGACTGCTGTCCGGAAACACAGAAGCACAATAAGTGATCTGGGTATGTTTGCCTAGATGTATCTAGCAAGCTAGGCAGCTGTTTGCTCGTTCGCTTGACTGTTTGTTCTTAGACTGTTTGCCTTTTTGCCTATCACTCTTTGTATCAAGTTCCTGCTTGGCATTGTCATAGCGGCAGAGAAGCATCACATGCATCACCACCTCAAAGTTGGCTTGGCATTGCCCGATTTACATTGGTATTCAATTGACTTTTCGGTGGTGGGCAGGCTGAATGCTTTCTTCCAGTCCGTGCACTTTCAAGTTCATGGCCATGGATCACAATGCTTTCCTTGAGATCTCTTGTCTTTTCGGTTGCTTTGCATTCTCCTTAAGGAGTCTGGTTGTCCATCCGTCCTTTTCGCTTCCTCCTTTGGACCCATGGTTCAACCAATTGCGTATTGCTCACCTGTCCAAAAATAAGATGTTGGCGGTATGCTGGATGTTGGACCTTCAGCCAAACTAGTGCTTGTGCTGGGCTGCTTTAAGTAGCCAGACTGCTGCGAAAGCCTTCGGTGTGGGGTTCAAGTTTGCTTGTGCTTACAATTCATCATATTAGCTTCAAGAAGGCCTGAACAAGTGTTTAGTTCAGCTTTCCTAAAAAGCTAGGAACCAAATCATTAGTGCATAAGCTATCCTGCGTCCATGTGTAGTAGCGTTCAAGTAGCTAGTAGCGAACTACTCCCTTACTTACCTTACTTAATTAAGTAGGCGCCTACTTAATTAAGTAAGGAGGAGGGGTTGCCCAGGGTCAAAAAAAAGAAACATCCATGTTGGAGGTCTTTGACTGCTGGTTCGAAAGCGGCTCTATGCCTTATGGATCGAAGCACTACCCATTTGAGGGCAAGGAGGACTTTGGTTTTTGAACCGTGCTAACGAAAGAAAAGATCCTACAAATTAAAGACTCATTAAGGGAGTAATGAGTAACTAAGCAAAAAAGGAAGGTAAGGGTTTAAGGGGAGTTAGTCACTCCCATAGACCTCACAGACAGGTCGACTGCCGCAATTGTTTTGCTTCTCCAAGTCGGCAGGAGTTTGAGAAAAGCTTCCCTGCCCAGTTCATCGCGGAGGGTTTGGATCAAACGCGCGGATGGTTCTACACCCTCATGGCACGCCAGGGCACAAGAGTAAGGAATAGTGTTGCTTTGCACCTGAAGATGACACTCGCAGCCACTTTGTGCCAGGTCCTGGGCACGCATCTGTTTGACAGCCCTCCATTCCAGAACCTTATCGTCAATGGTCTTGTGCTTGCGGTCCTTTGCTTGGAATTTGCGAAAAGATCCATGGATTTGAAGAGAAATGGTCTTGTGTGTAACACAGTGAGACCTTGCAAGGCTGATGGAAAGAAGATGAGCAAACGCCTGAAGAACTATCCCGATCCGCAGGACCTCTTTGACCTGTTGCGACAGCCAATTGCACGTGGCTCACGTGAGTCCCTGAAGAAAAAGAGCTTGTTCTTTGGTTCAAGCCAGCTGAAAGTAGATAGGATCATGAAGCTATCAGCATGCAGGTGCGCAGTCCGCAGGTTGCGAACATTCGTCGTCTAAGTTGAAAACTAGAGTTGATTGTCAAAATAGACAGTGTAGGAATCCCCAGTTTTGACGGAGTGTCCACCATTGTGCGATCTATGGAGTTTATGCGATCTAGTAGCGTCCTTGCTCCTAGTAGCGATGCCAGGAGCCCCTAGTAGCGTTGAACACACTTGCGCAACAAAGAAGCGCATTGTACAATTGTACACCGTGATTAGTAGGCGAGCCTGATGAGGGCTAAGAACTTGCCAAGTTCATCGAGAAGCTGCTTTGATTTAGTGGCCACAACTCCGAGCCATGCGCCGTAGTCGCTGCAGCACCCTGCCAGTTCTGCTGGGCACTTTGGCAGGTTTCAGGTGCCTTTACTAGTTTGCAACTTTCTGAGACCACCTGATAAGATTACTCTAAGGCGAGTACTATACTTGAATTCTTGCACCAGGTGCTTTCTGGTTTTCCCTTCCTCAGAAGAGGCCAAGGCTTGTTTGCTTGTGAATCTGAGTTGGCATGTTGACATTTGGAGAACTGACTGACTTGGACTTGCTGTGAGCAACCTTACTACTAGGAGCAATGTTCGCTACTAGGGGCTCCTGGCATCGCTACTAGGAGCAAGGATGCTACTAGGGGCTCCTGGCCATACTACTAGGAGCAAGAAGCTACTAGGGGCTCCTAACTTGTGCCAGAGATGTTGCTTGAAGGCACATGCCTCAAAGCCAGACCTTCCAAGAAGAGCTTTGGTGCTCCCCCGCTGTGCATCGGAAAATTCATTCAATTGACGGGTTCCTTGCCTGGAATGACTCATAGTATGAAACATGGGACGGGTATGAAACATGTCCAGGCTGCATAGGTCTCACAGATATGACTTTGCAGCCATATGGCAGAATCGATTAGCTTGTTGCAATGGAGACAAAGTGGCACTACTGCGCAGCATTAGGCGGATCAGCTCTGCTTGCTTGGTGGCTGTGGAAAAAGCGAAGGGACCCCTACGGCTTTGACACTGTCGTGGATCGGAGGGGCTTCAATACTGTCAAATATGATTTGTCACCAGTGCTATTTGGGGAAGAAGCTCGAGATTGCCTTCAGCACTGGGTGGCGGACATGGATTTCCCCTGCTGCGAGAAGATCCAAAAGGCACTCGCTAAGCGAATGTCTCATCCTACCTATGGATACACCATTCTGCCTCATGAGGTTTGGAGAATTGTAGGCCAATGGCTCGTGGAGAATCAGAATTGGCCCAGTCCACCAAGTCCCGAATGCTTTGTCTTCTCTGGTACAGTGCTCTCGAGCGTGGGGAGCATTCTACGCACTTTCACTAGTCCGGGAGACAAGGTGAGAAACTCAATATGTGACTCAACAAAAGGGTGTTCCAACAGTATTTTTTACTTCAACAAACCTTCTTTGGCTTGTGTTTGCAGGAGTCTGCAAAAAACAGGCCTGCATGTACTAGTAGACTAGCCATCTACCCGACCTGGAACGTTCGGAACCTGTAAAGCAACGTGCACATTGTGTGTAGTAGCGTCCTTGCTCCTAGTAGTAAGGCCAGGAGCCCCTAGTAGCGTCCTTGCTCCTAGCCCAACTCCAGTCTTCCTTGCAGGTTCTCACCATGGTGCCCTTATATCCACCTTTGCAGACAGTCGTGTCGGCAGCTGGCCGCAGCTTGGTACCGTACCAGCTGCCGATGAGAAAGGACGCGCAAGGTACTTGTCGTTACGAGATGGACGTGGAGGTGGGAATTTGCCCGGATGTTTCTTCTCTTGTGACTTTAGTCAAACAGACTACATAAATTGCAAGTTTGCATACACTTGTTTTGAGAGATTTCTCTGGGTCAAAGCTCTGTCAGGGGCTGAAGAAGGTATTTGATCAAGAGAAGGTGAAGGCCTTGATACTTTGTAGTCCCCACAACCCCGTGGGCCGTGTTTGGACTCGTGAAGAGTTGGAAGCTTTAGCAAAGGCGTGCAAAGAGCGTGATATTTTAGTGATGGTGGATGAAGTTTGGGCCGACTGGTGTTGGAAGCCATTTGTCCCATTTCATCCCATCGCCAAGAGTCTCGGGTGCAGATGCATCAGCCTTGGCTCGCCCACCAAGACCTGGAATCTGGCAGGGCTGCACTGTTCGTATGCCATCATTGACGATGCAGAGATGCTACGGAGTTTCAAGCAGTATGTCGAGCCTCAGTTTTTACATCACTGCAGTATTTTTGGAGCTGAAGCCATGCGACTGGCATATGGTAGCAAAGAGTGGATGCATGCGGTCAGAGCCTACGTGAATGCAAACTTCATTTACTTGGGAGAGAAGTTGAAAGAAATTCAGGGTATTCAGCTGGCAACTTGACAGTCAAATAGCAACTTGTGGCACTCTGAAGATCCCAAGTTCTTGCTTCCTTTCGTCTTGTAGATTGAACTTGAACCTTTTTCCAAAGACGTTTACGTAGGAATAACTCAGATAGAGCTCATGGGAAGCTTTTTTGAGCCCCTGAATCAAGGCAGAACATGAGGCTCGTGGGTCGCTGTCGGTTTTCTGTCTTGTTTCTATGGAACGCAACAACATCGTACACCCAAAACCATATCGGTTCTTCTGGCTGCTGCGAGGCCACTTATTTGGCCTGGTTGGACTGCTCTGGCCTTGGCCTTGACAAGAACCAAGTCCACTCATGGTTGATTCAGGCAGGGGCTCAGCACAAGATGGTGGGGCTCGCTTCTTTTTTCACAACAAACGCATAGGGGTCATTGGAATAAAACTTTGGTGAACAGAATCCATTCTGGATGGGTCATGCAGGTAGAGGAACAGTGGCAAGGGATGACACATGCACACACACACACAACCCACACGCACACGCACACGCACACGCACACGCACACGCACACGCACACGCACACGCACACGCATACGCATGCAAAGACCTCGGATTTAGCAACAGGCCTTACCAGCACTAACAGGTAGAACAGTTGTGAAGGTTGTAGGCTCAGGTGTGGACTGCTAGGGAAGTCCTGCAAGTAGGTACCGCAAGATGAAGGGGTTTGTTCAGTAGAGTCACAGCATGTCACAGCTACAATTGATGGAAAGCGTGAACATGTGTGGAACCTGCAATGTTCCAAGGAAGGTTTGGTTCTTTCATCCGGCAGTGATTTTCACCAAGACTGTGGGCACTTCCAGCGGTTGCTTGGTGACATTACATAGCAACTAACTGCACTCACTCGAACATGCAAGTGAGATCAAAACAGTGCCGGAGAAAATACTCTCCTGCAGCCCACTTTTGAGTGATCGTGTTTGTTGTAGGGAGAGTACGAATATGAGATTGTGAGGTAATATCGGAGACTTGCTTCAGCAACTGTCTGCAGCTGAGGATGAATTTGGCTTGCAGCAGGCATGATTTTTCAACATCGTGTGGGCAACAATGAGCCTTCAATTGGTCCTTTTCTGTTAATTTTCCTTTTCTCTAAGAGGTCCATTGGAACGTATCCTGAATTTGAAGTAGAAAAGTACCAAGCTCACTGACTTAATGTCCACAAATGGCAAAGCAATCTGCGGACAGCCTGCAGGCAGAAACTTCAAGAAGCTCTAGAGAGGCTGAAACATGCCGTGGCGAAGATGAAGAGTTGACCTTTCAAAGTTCTGAAGGTTAAACAGCGGAATCTCTCGGACTTCGTCTAAACCTGAATCCTCGAGCAGATGGACAAGGTGCAGAATCTTCAGGCAGTCGGTGCACTTCTCCTTGCTCGGACGAAAAGCTCGAGCTGAGACGTGAGATGTGGTTGTCACAGACAGTTCTTGGCATAGGCAAGTGATCAAGCAGTTTTGAAATTGCTTTGTTTGTGGCTTCTTGGATGTAGCTGCAGCTCTTTGCTCAATTTGAGGTGGAGAGGTAGTCACCAGGTTGTCTTAACTCATGGCTTTGGTTGGCCCTTCCCTGGATCGACTGCAGCTGCGTCATCCGTGGCGTTGTGCTCCGCATGAGCCGCAGGAGAGACCCGGGACTGCCAGACCGCAGAAACCTAGAAGCGATGGCCTCGACCCTAGTAGCGATCCTTGCTCCTAGTAGCGATGCCCTTTGCTCCTAGTAGTAAGGCCAGGAGCCCCTAGTAGCGTCCTTGCTCCTACAACCAATCACCTCCAACCTACAATTTTGAAGACATTTCCCTGCCCATTGACCTTCCCCATGAGCAGAACCAGACGATCATTGGACCCTTCAGACTCAACATTGAATGTATTGACAGTTTGAACCCATCTGAAGGAGCGGTCCTCTTGGCAGCCAGACAAAGCCATTGGTGCTGTGTTGGCTGGTATTGCTGCCACACAGTCACCAGGAAGACCTCGATCTGGTCCTAAAGGTCTTGCAGCAAAGCTAAGCAAAGAGCTTAAAGGCTTCAAGCTGAGCGAAGAGAAAGCCAGGAAGCCAACCAAGGTAAATAAAGAACTTGAAGAGTTTGAGAAACTTCAGAACGAGCAGTTGACGAATTCCGTGCCAGAAGGCGCCGACAAGTCTCAAAGTGAATTGGACAACTCCAAGCTGAAAGAATCATGGCAATGGCTGCGGAGTAAAGCCCACAAAGCTGCAAGGCAGGCTTCTACCGTCCGGCAACATGCTTCTGTTTTGTTTTCCAAAGTGCAACAGAACTCTCAAAAAGTCCAGCCGGTGAAGCGGGCAAAATCCGCTTGGCGAGTGATTCGAGAATCTTGGTCTGGCACAAAACCTCGGCAGCAGCTCTTGACTTTTGTACTTGCAGTGCTTCTCTTGATTGCTGTGTGGCCTTCTCGATCAATACCACAAGTTTCTGGTAGTCCAGAACAACGAATGTTGCAGCTCCTGCCTGAGGAGGAAGCACGTTTGCAAATGTTGAATGATGCTACACCAGGTGTGGTGTATGTGAAAGGAAAACCGGCTTTGTGGATCTCAGAGAAGGAAGAGCAAGGAGCATTCGTCCCCGGTGGCACTGCTTGGATCTTTGACAATCGTCATGTGGTTACGAGTTTGAGCAACATCGACCAGGCAAGGCGTGGCTCTTTGAAGGTTGTCTTACCAGATCGTAGCGAAGTGCCTGCCCGGGTTCTGGGAGTGGATGAAGGGAGTGATTTGGCGGTCTTGGAGTTGCCTGCAAAGATAGCGCTACGTGATGCACTTCCTTTGGGGTCTTCTGCAGCCTTGAGGCTTGGGCAAGATGTGATACTCATAGGTCGTGAAGCCACACTGGACATGAGGATCTCCAAAGGAGTTGTCTATGGACTGGGACAACCGCTAGCTCTATCTGATCAGCCAGATGGTCATCCAGTTCAAAGTTGCATTCAAACAGATGTGTTGATGAACCCCATAAATCGAGGAGGAGCACTTCTCAATAGCCGTGGGCAGGTCATTGGAATGGCAGTGGGGCCAACGGATGAAGGCTCAGTTGGCCAGGCCATACCTGCCGACAGTCTTCGAAAGCACATAGACAGCATCATCTCCAATGGCCATGTTACGAGACCTTCTCTAGGAATGTACTTGGCGCCAGATGGCTTTGCTGAGAAGCTGGGTGTGGGTGGTGGAGGAGTTGTTGTCCAGGAAGTCATACCTGGTTCTGCTGCCAAAAAGGCAGGTCTGAAAGCAGGTGACATTATCATTGCCCAAGGCGATCATGCTGTTCATCGCATGGATGACCTCATTACAGTCCTGGAACCCTTCAGTCCTGGAGATCATTTCTCGCTGACAGTCCTACGCCAGACAGCAGGGGAAGGCATTTTCGCTCCTTTCTCTCCTCAGGTGTATTCGAAATTGGACCTCACGGTGAAAGCGGTAGCGTCAGGTGGCATTTGAAAAGAGAAGTGCCTCATAGGACCATGGGATTCAAGACAATGCCAACGCATTCTGAGTAGAAGTCTCAAAAGCAACCGCAGCAGTTTGCCTGGTGTTGGGGGTACTGACAGAAACGACCTGTGACTTTCACTGGAAAATTGTACATGTTTGTTCGTCAGTTCCAAGAAGCCCAAAAGGAATGACATTTGTGCCATCGCAGGTAGCTGCGTCGGCTTCACTCTTGCCATGGCCTGCACAAGCTAAGCCTGAGGACAAGGCGACGATCAAGAAAGCGGCAGAAACGATGCATCAGCTGCAGGAGTGAGTGCTGATGAATTTTCAGCTTTGGTATTTAACGAGTCTCGAGACCTTTGCAACCTTAAAGAACTTGTGCGATCTCTTGTCCTCTCAGATATGACTCAAGTGATTGTCAGGATCGGTGGACTCAGCTAGCTAGCAAAGGTGCAGAGGGTGCTAAAGAAATCCTGGAGGCGGGTTTCGCCGCGAAGAGTCCAAAAGCGGAAGTGGGAGTGAAGTGGCTTGAGGTAGGTTGGCAGTTTCGTTGCCATTGGGATTTCTTGAGTAGAGACTAGGATATCAAACATACTGTTTGAACTGAGGCCTTTAGCGGAGTCTCATACTCCAGCTTCACGATCAAAGTCCCTCCTGGTCAATCTGTGGGTGTTGACATCGAGGAGACAAAGCGGTCAAGCTGCCGATGCGACGCAGTGCGATGCGGTGCGCTAGGACCGCACGATCACCTCTGTGAACACCAGGAAGTTGGGATGGAGTGTTGGTGATAAGCCGAGCTTCCGAACTGCCAGTCTCCATTGCTTGTGACACATCGTGTTTGCCACGAAGTTGTTCAAACATGTTCAAACCTAGAGGACCAATAGTAGCATGAAGTACACATCCAAATTTTCGATGCTAAGGTGACACGATCCAGGAGATTAATGGCCAGGAGGCCAAGGCGATGCCGGCAAAGCCCGAAATGTGATTGTTGGACGAAGAAGAGGGAAGTCTGCAGACAGAAGAAACTAATGGAAGCGTGCTCCCATGATTCGCATTCTTTAAATGCTACCTTTTGAAGGATGAGGAGACTGTCGTCAATTATGTGAAGACAGCCAAGCAAGAGGCTGCACGATGTGATGATGGCAGAGTTGCTTTTAGATGTTTTGGCGTTTAAAGAAGGCATGCGAGTGGGATGATTTGCTGAAATCTGGGACATGTCATGGCATTTTTGTGACGTTTCAGGGCAAAGAGCTTGTCTTCAAGGTGCAGCGCCTCTCAGAATCTCCTTGGGTGAGTCTTGAAAGGTAGGCGCCCCAGATCGTTGTTTGAGCTCAAACCGAGACATCACAGCGTTGTTCTTATTTTTTCACCTCTTTTCCATAGCATTGCAAAAACAGCATGTGCAGTGGTGGAAACCTGGTGGTACTTAGGGCCCTGACAAATGCCTATGCGTGGCACTGGCATTGTCAACTTGCAAGATGCAAAAGAGACGAGAAGTGAGGGAAGGGAAGGAAGAAGAGTCCGAAAGAAAGACAGGAATAAAGAGAAGTTGAGGAACCCAGGCTATTTATGTTCTCGTTTGGTCGGGACTTGCTTTGGCGGCCAGGGACGTCGATGCAGAGGTCGTTTTGCCTGAACCGGACCAGGCGCAGCTTCTTTGTCGAAGCTGGAAGCTTGTTGGATGTTTTCGAAGACATTTGACACACTTGTGGACTTGACTCTCCCAAAGTATAGATTACACGTGAAACACCAGCTGGTGACTACAACTACAGATCTTCAGAGAGGTTTCGCCTTTTCGTTGAAAAACTGAGATTCAAACAAGGGGCGAATCTCGTCCAGCCTTGCAGGTAAGTGACATGTTCAGGGACCTGAAGAACAATGTGAATCTTGCAAAGGACGAGATTCTAAACAATCAGAGATACTGTGAAGCACCATTGCCAACTGCTGTATATATATTATATAATATATATATATTATATAGACCAGTCAACAAAACTTTTAAACCCCAACAAGTTTGCTTTCCAGCTTTGCTGATTTGGTTGGTTGAAACGCAGCACCAGGATGAGATCATCGAGATGGCTGTGGTGAAGGTCTAGAGTCAAGAGTCTACAGATTTCTAGTGCATATCACGGAGTTTCCACCAGTGGACCATCGATTTGAGGTAAACAACACATCCATGGGTGTGTACGGGAAAAAGATACTTTTTCATTTTTCAAGGGGTTTCCTAAAAAAAGAAAAGGAATGAACGGAAAAAAGGCCGCTTTGAACCGCTTTGAACAACTTTGAATCGCTTGTTCTTGTGCTTTTCTTGTCGAACCACTTTGCTGTCAGGACAAGCTGGATGCCTTCACTAAAGCACTTGATCAATTCGCCACCAGTTGAGTGGCCCGAATCTGGCAAGATGGCAAATGGTTTACCCAAAAGGCCCAAAAGGTAAGATCGCTCAAACGAGCTTAGGAGTGGTAAGGACTTCAACGTGACATTTGCCGGATTCCATTTTTTCAGCTTATACGCTGAGATTGCCATTTTTCACAGAGTTGACCCTGTCTTCTGGCGAGCTCAAAAAGGGATGACCGAAGGTTGAAGAAGTAGGCTTGGACGGTGCACAGCATTTGAAAAGAATGGCTGAAGCTTCCAAGTGTGATGGAAGTGCCATGTGAGGAAGTCGTGGAGCGCCATGGAGCTGACGCAGCACCCTGGCATCACTCGAAGCGTTTCCTCTGGACATTTTCTTCATTTGTTTCATTATTTGTTTCATTTTTTGATTTGCAAAAACTATTCAAGTAATACACTTCTGTGGAAGAAAGACACCTGGTGGCTCTTGCAGAGATGATATGCAACATTCCCATGCGCGTCTTTTGAGGTTCGCATGTACATGTTGAACTCCGGCGTTGTACGAGCAGAGCCGCTGAAATTCAAGGCAGACCTTTAAGTGATAAACTTACACAAGTAGTAGCTTCTTGTTCCTAATAGCGATGCCCTTTGCTCCTAGTAGCGTCCTTGCTCCTAGTAGTAAGGCCAGGAGCCCCTAGTAGCTTCTTGTTCCTACATGATCATGTTTAACTGTACACAGTATCACTTGACATCGATGAGATGGAAAGATCATGGATTGACCTGGCTGCAGGAAGAAGGTGTCCGAGACGTTGTTAAGGCCTGTAGGGAGGTGACCTGACCACACCGATGTAGCTGGTGCATGCAGTTTTCAGAAGCTGACCTTGGAGATTGATTGACAAAAAGAGATCGGTAATGACCTTGCCGAAGCAGTTCTTTGGCGAGTGCTTTGACCTCAGGATGTCTTCTTGCCTTGGTACAACGCTTATCGCTTCCTGGTCCAGGAAATGTGCAGCACATGTTCTCGAAACTGACTTGGCCAAGAATTATGTATGAAGTGGGAAAGAGAGTTGGTGAGCCATTTCTCATATTCGCATGCCAGGAGAGTTTCAGATATGAAGCGGACGGGAAGAAGTTTCTGTCCCTTGAATATCAGTGTGTGTCAAAGTGATGAAACATATTTTATGTTTTCGTTGCTCTTGGTTGGTGATGAGAAAAGCTTCTGGTTGGGTCTGATGCTGCAACGCAAGGCCAGATGCTTCCAAAGTCAAGGCCTGTCCTCGGAGCTTGAGAAGAAGTACAAAACAAAAACAACAAAACCTCTTGATGAGAGCTGATACTCCGCATACGTCCTTTGTCAGGCGTCGTCAAACAAAATGGACCAATGGATCTTTGCATCCATGCATGAGCTGATCCGCTTTGTTCGTGAGGAGCAAATATGGGCCTTAGAGATCCTTTCGGTTGGAGGCCATCGCTATTAGGTTGGAGGCCATGGCCATTAGGAACAAGAAGCTATTAGGGGCTCCTGGCCTTACTACTAGGAGCAAGAAGCTACTGGGGGCTCCTGGCATCGCTACTAGGAGCAAGGACGCTATTAGGTTCCCTTTAGGTTGGAGGCCATCGCCGGTTCCCTTTCCATCAGATCCTTTAGGATCCTTTTGAAATACCGACTCTACACGGTCAGAAAGTGAGGAGATGGAGGCCTACCGACTCTACACAGTCGTGCCTCGGTTGGTGTCCCACACTCAGGGCACTCCGTCTTACAATGTGGGGTCGGTGATGTTTACTGTGTCAGGAATTTCTTGGATGACCTCACAAACTGGTGACCATCGTGCAGTTGCGGCTTCGCTTTGGATTTTTTGAGCCTGGACCTCTTTGAGCATGGCTTCCAAAGAACTGGGGCGAAGGGGGGCACACTGATCACATCACAACGTGTCATAATTTGCCATACTCGACCGCATTTTGGGCTTAGCAGCTGGATTCAAAGTTGAAGACAAAGTTGATCCCACAGAGTTGATGTAAATTGATGCTAGGAGCGATCGGACACTACGTTCGGAGCAAAGGGCATCGCTACTAGGAGCAAGGACGCTACTAGGGGCTCCTGGCCTTACTACTAGGAGCAATGTTCGCTACTAGGAGCTACTCAAACTTTCCTATAGAATCTTTCCTTATTAGATCAGCCATGGAAGCCGAGACAGCGAGCCCTACAGTGCGATTGTTTAATGCTCTTTTGGTGACCATGCTGGCCATTCTGACAGGCTTGTTTTGTGTTCGGTTGCGTTTGATACGACCGGACGAAGGTGACTTGAAGGGAATGGGATTTTTCATTGGTTCCATTGCCTTCCCACTCTTGATTTTCAATACAGTGGCAACTGCCAACATCGGTGCTATTGACTTTGGAGTCATCGCAGCGTGTAGTCTTGGAAAAATCGCTGTCATGTCTCTTACATGGTTGCTGGCGTTTGTTGCCTATCTTCCACACAGATCAGTAGGTCAAAGAATATTGACAGCCGCTGTCTTTGCCTTTTTCGCGGTCGCATCAGACGATTTTGCAATCGGCTTCCCAGTAATTGACGCACTGTACGGAGATGAGGTAGATATGAGCATCTATATAACAGGAAATGCTCTGGTTGGTTCATTCCTGTTTGTGCCGATCACAATCATAGCCTTTGCGATTGGTGGGGCGCTACGAGGCAACAATGGGGAGGCGTCAGGTTGTCGGGCTATTGGTCGAACAATCATCTACGACTTGGTGACCAATCCTGTTTTGGTGATGACGTGTGTCGGCCTGATCCTAAAGATTATTTTTGCAGCGTCTTCGACAGGATCTTTGTCAGCGAAAAAGCTTCCATCCCCCTTTTCGAACTTCATTGACTTGTTCACGGCTCCCTTTGGAATGTCAGCCTTGTTTCTGACTGGAACATCCCTACGTTCTCCCCGAGTGGCTGTTTGGGCCGTAGGCCTTGTCCTGATGAAGGTGGTGGTTTGTGCATATTTGAGCTATGCTTTTGGCACTCTTCTTTTGGGAACTTCAGGATCTACAAAGTTGTTTCGGGACTTCACATTCTTCTATGGTGCAATTCCAACAGGCAGCTCGCCCATTGTGTTTGCTGCACAGTTTGACCCAGACTCTGCAGAGCTTATTGCGACTTCAGTCCTTTTTGGGCTCATGCTGGCTGGCCCCATTATGTTTGTAACTGCGAACTCCCTCGGGTTACATGGAGATGCAGCTGAAGCCACCAAGATTCTTCAGCAAGTGCAAGCTAGCGTAGATGCTTCAAGCATTTTTTGCGGAGGTGCATTTTTCTTATGCCTTCTGTTACTGAGGTGGGCATGGCACTTTAAATGTCCAGCAAAGCTTTTGCTTGCCGTTTACGGAATGGTTCTTCTGGTATATGCTGTGGTATCCCTCATGTTGAATCCACTCTTCTATCCACAAAGCTGCGAGCTTTTCAAGAGGATGGAATTGAGAACTCCCTTGGTTTTGACCTTCAGTTGGCTTCAGAACACAGCATCCATCATGCTCCTTTTGCTACAGTCAATGCTGGTCTGTGGCCCCGCTGTTTCAAAGGAAAGACCCGTATTGGGTGTTTCGATAGCCGGAGCTTGCTTTGTTTTTGCTTTGCTGCCATCCTTGCTCGCCACGCCAAACACGATCAATGAGATTTGTGGAGTTTCCGCAGTGAGAAACGTATCACTCTCTTTGACCTTTGCCTGGTCTTGCCTGCAGCTTTTGATCGCTTCTGTTCTGGCGATCAATGGCCTTTGCAAAGCAAGGCAAAGAGCAAACCGAGCTGAATGGAGGAGCGAAAGGAGTGAGTCTCCAGAAGAAGCCAGAGAATCTGACAGCTCGTATGATGGAAGTGCCGATCTGTGGCAACAGCTTGTTCCACAAGGACCGGAAGACCGAAAGTTTTGGAAAGAGCCGTTAAAAACAAACTTGTGCATTCAAAAGTGGATGCCCATGTGGAAATGGTATCATCAGTCATGCTAAACCATATCCTTTTGGTTAAGTTGACCTTTGTACATAGGTCTATCATGCCTGTCATGGCTGAAAAGAACTAGGAGAAAGGCATGCTCTAGCTCCTTTAGATACGACCTGACAGGCACCATCCTCGCGATTACCATCCTGAACATTCTCAAGTGCTTGACGCAAGTGATCAATGCTGGTCAAGTCTTTTTCTATGCAAATAAGAATCAGGGAAGTTTTGCAGCGATGTTGTTGCTGGAGAGCGTGCTTGAGCATGGACAGCCGTGGGTACTGCTGACCGCCCTCTTTTTTGATCAGAACTTCACATCATCCTTTCTCAAGGTCCTTTCAGGCATGTGTCCACGCTTGTGCAAAGCAAGCCAAGTCAGCAAGAATCCATTGTGGTGTCTCATCAGGCACTCATATTTGGAGAATGCTGACATTGATGGTCGTGTTAGCGAAACTGATCATGGTGAATTGTAAATATTTTGAAATTCGTTTTGCAAAGCTTCTAGAGCAGCTGGGTGAAGAATGCCTTTGACTGCTCTTGCACGTTGGTTGAGCACAGCCCTGAGCGCAACCTTTGCACGCCTGTGTATTGGAGTTCTTCTCAGCTTACAGACCCCGAATGCTGGAACAGTGCTGAGAACAGAAGCGAAGTCCCAGCAATCGTTGCAGCATGGAGTTCATGGCCCATTCTCCAGGTACGTTAGGTTAAATCGCGACAGGCCTGTGCTCTTTCTCCTCACACCTTTTCGTTATTCGAGTTGTTTATCTATTTTGTTTTTTCCTGTTGTTTTTTTTTTCTCTCTCTCTCTCTCGAATAGTGAATCTGTGTACCTCACTTTCTTCCGATGCGTCCTTTGGACAGGATGCGAGGATCTAATGGTCCAGACGAGGCAAGACAATGCGGTGCGTTTCAGCTAAAAGGCAATGCAACTGTGGTTTTGGAGCTGTCTCAAGGCCTTCACATCTCTCAGTGCCCTTTTCGAAGTGCTGCTGAATGTCACAGTGTTCTTCCCAGAGGATGAAGTAGAGAAGGTGGTTCATTGCAACCTTACACAAATCTGCTCAGAACCGTGGCCTAGGTCTGCCTAGCTCCGGTGGTGCCTTTTATCACAGAGACACACCCGCATGTTTAGGAGCTTCCGGAGCCGGAAGCTCTTGATGTGTTTCTCAGGTTGAATCAGTTTGCTGTTGGAGTTTCAGAATCCTTTTGTTAGCAGGCTGATCTATAGCAATCTCGTGCGTGCTTTGCCAGATGGTCATCCAATGAAGGCTCGTTAAGACGAGACTCCCCATGGTTGACGACACATAGGATTTGCGTTCGTTTGAAGATGCACACCCTACAAAAAGTTCTGCGTTTGAAATGGAATTGCTTTTTATCTGGAAAATGCTGGCTCCAAGGCAAAATCAGTGCATTTTGTCATGATCCCTGAGCCGGACATGAAGGCGAGGCAATGGCTATCCTTTGTTGTGCTTCGCAGTCTTGGCAATGACATTGATGATTGTCGGTTCACGGCGGTGTTGCAAGATTTCACCTTCATTCCCCAGCTGCTCCAGGCTATCAATCCTGAGATTACCCAGGCCGTTAGGCGAGGCCATGTCTCAGCTACAAGGTTGAACAAGATTTGGTTTTGATTTGATAGTTTCAGGCGGATGCAGAATGTAGTAGAGCTCGGACGTACCTGCCGCGAACGACGAAAAGTCGGTGTGGGCGTCAAGCCAGAACGGGGAAGAGGTCCAGGTTCACGACAGAACTGGAAGGAAGAAGGGGATACGGATATGGCTGTGAAAAGCGAAGACAACGGAGACACGGCTGTGATACAGCTTGAGGTCTGAAGATGCCTTTGAAGTCCATGACCATCATGAACAAAGACCAGGAGCTTCACATGTGAACAAAGCCGTGTACAGCCATGGATCACACACTACTTTATCATAACAAACCGCTGGCACTGCTCGCTCATGAGAACAATTTGCTGCGAGGGCTTCATTAAAGATGTCAAGGCTTTGCAGAAGTTCTTTGGCAGCAAATCAATCTACAGTAGATAGATAATTTTTTGTATACTTTTTCAAGTGCTTCGCTTGAGCAAGGAGCGAGGTTATGATTTGTTAATTCACGTTTTGGTTGTTTGAAGCATCCCAGCTGGGAGAAGCACTTTTATGCACCTGGTGCTATCAGTAGCTGAAGGTATATTGAAGAGGAGCTCAATGTGGTCGAATTGAACTTCCGGGCCGATGCTGAGGCGAGAGCATCATACAACTTCAGCAGACTAAACCTTTTACCAGGACAAAACTCCCTACCAGCATAGCATAGCACTTTTTGGGGTAGTCTTTTTCACATATTGGATTGGTAGTGTTTGTACCGTGCCATCAAAACTCTATGTGCCAAATGGATACTTTGAATATCTTTGAATCCCCTCGGCTTGGCTTTTTGCTGCGCTCAGATCACCTTGTCTGGTACCTTGAACTTCAAGGCTCAGCTTTTCCGGTGATATGTTTGCATTTGTTATTTACAGTACTTCCTGTTTAATTTGAACCTTTGCCTTTGCCTGTTTTCGGATTTTGTTCGCTACAGTTGTCGAGTGTCGGCCAAAGAAAGCGTTTCGATGCATCGAGGAACTGGGAAAGCGACTCGGCAAAGACATGAAAGCAGTAAAGGCCCTCCGATTTCGGATTCTTCTTGTGCCGCATGCTGAAGTGCTGGCCTGGGGCCTTGTTAAAACATTCTAGAGGCTGATGTGTTTCTGTTCACCTGGGGGCTCTAGTTGCTCTTCTTTGCTCCAAGTTCATTTCGTGCAGGACGCTGTGACGAACCTTTCCCAGGCTGAACTGGTGGATTTTGAGAAGACAGGCGAAAATGCGGCATCCATAATTTCACAGCATTGACGGGTCACAGCTCAACCCATTGGATCTCTCAATCACAGCAAGCGGAGCAAGTGGAGCCGGCGGAGCGGTGCCGAAGTCGAGCGCCAGGAGAAATCACCATTCAAGGGCACAAGTTAGCGGGCGACGATATCCAACTGTCACGGAAGCTCAAGGAGAGGCCTTCGTTGAGAATATCGATTGGCATTTATATAGCATATTAAAGGGCAAGCGGCTAGCGTGCTGGCCCACCAGCGGGCCGCGTGGGCATGCGCACCTAAAACTCCCACGGCAATGCTGCAGAGACTTGTTCAGCTCATCGCGCAGTGGATGATCTCTAAAATGCAGTACTGCAGCATACTGTAGCCGCTGTAGCCATTGCCAAGAAAGCACAACTCTCCAAATCTTGAGAGGAAGAACCGTTGGACCATGTTCCGCAAGGACTTGGACAATCCAAACCTGGACGTGAATGGCGATGATGACACGCAGGCGAGTTTGAGCACGCTGGAACTGGGGCTTGCAGTGTGGTGTATTTCAGATCATTTCAGTGTTGGCTTGATGAGGTCATCCTGGACTTCACTGAAGATGAGGCGAGCTCACTGTAGTTGACGAGATTCTGCCGGCGGTCTCGACAGTCCATCCCTCTTGTGCAGGACTTGAAGCTGATGGCGGTCGCCCGCGACATTGTCAACAAGGTGGGGCAGCAGGCTACTGAATCAGAATCTGAAGGTCTCGTTTGCTGCACATCACAGCTGTTGCTGGCAGGTTCAGAAAATGCGGAAGGACGCTGGCTTTTGGAGAGTTTCTCGAGGTGTTTCCAAGCGCTTTCACTTTTCGCTGAGACCTTTAAGTGAGAACCAATGAGAACTGCATCAAGGCTGTGAAACTGTCCGGGAGTGGCACCCTTTTTGTGTGAAGATGCCAAGCAGGACACCAAACTGATGCAGGATGACCCTGTTGACATGTGGGCGGAGGCGGAAGATGGACTCCAAGACGGTGTGGCGGGCTTCGTATAATGCGTTGCCACAAGTTTGCCAGTCAGCTTGTCAGGTAAAATCGGGAAAGAAAAGCAAAGGCCTTGTGCACAAGTCCATGACTTCAAAGCGGGACTACATCATCAAATTGCTCCGAAGGCACTGCATCAGATACTGTGTCTTTCCTATGCTGGATCAAATCATCAGTGCTGTTAGTCTGCAGTTTGCAGACATATTAAGAAATTTCTAGATGTGCAGGGGTCTGTGGGATGCCTCTTTGCGTCAAGGACATGAAGTGTGGGCCCCAGAAAGGAGCACTGCAGCCTTGCTTGTTTTCAAGATCACTGGCACATATGAGTCCCAACAGCACCGGACCGGCGCAGGCTCAGAAGCCAAAACTCAATTACATTTGAAGTGGTATTTATCCACTCCTGCCTGCCGCACAGGGGGGATCACATGTAATTAAAGCGACATGTTACCAGCTTCTTAACAGTAACGGCGGCAGGAAAGAGGAGCAGGTTATAAGTCAGGGGGAGAAGAAAGAAGGAAGAGAGGGTAGCAGAAGAAGTACACCAGGAAGAAAGGAGGAAAGCAGTGTGTATGTGTGTGGATGTGTTTGTGTGAGCGTGTGTTTGTATCTGCTTGTATGTGTGGGTGTCTGTGTCTTTGTCAGTGCGGCGTGCTGTGTTGGCTCTCTGCCATTCTCAGGGAATGAGGATGTTGCGAGAGGAGAACCTCAGATCAAGTGCAGAGTTGCGAATGCCTGCAGGCCAATGAAGAAGGATGGCATGCTTCTTCCGTCGTTGTGTCGCCATGTGATTGAGAGCATGCAACCTGGCGGGTGAAAACTGCATGCTGTCCTGGTGGCAATGTATGCTTCAAGACCTGTGTGCCTCCACAGCTGGGTGAAAGCTGCATACTTTGAAAGCTTCGTAAGATTTTTTGGTCGATCGTCTTGCGTGCAGCATCAGTCATCCCCTAGTAGTTGGCACCGCGCAGCTCCACTTAGAGGAATCCAGAAGACTGAGCAGGTGCAAGAACAAGAATGAGAAAGAGACGTATACCGGAAGCAACGCGCCGGGTTTTGGTCGGTAAAGTGCCGAACTGCCGGCCTCAGGCATTTCTTAAGTCACTTCCTGTTTGAGCTGGGAAGCTCCTGCGAAGGAAACAGAAGCTCCTTACGAAACATGTCGTGTGCAGAGCAATCCTCAGGCGGGGTGTGTTTAGGTGTATTGATTGAGCAAGTCTCTTCAACGCATAGATGCACTTGCAGGCGTTGGTGACGCATATGTCTGCTGTAAGTTCTGCTTGGAGATTTTTCATCTTTGGACAGGCTTGGTTTGGGCGCAACTTCAATTGTTCGCGTACCCAGAGACTTGCTATAGGTGCCACATTTTGCGCAGACAGCTAGCTGCTGCAAGGCTAGTTGCCCTCATAGCAGGGGTTTGCCAAGCGATCGAGCGCTCCAAGCGCCTGTCGAAAGCGGGGTGCCGTCAAGTTACGAGAGTCACGCTTGATCATGTAGAGCCTCAATGAAGTTGAAGGTGATCAAGAAACCGTAGGGACACTGAGCAGTTGAGGAACTGTGCGACGATCACGGACCGAGCAGAACATCTATGCGTCCATCAAGAAATTGGCCAGCCAAGCGAAGCTTGGCCTGGTCACCGGTCTCTGTTGGGCCGGATTTTTCGACAGCGATGACCACAGGAATCGAAAATGCTTTGCGTTGCCCAACACCATTGCTAGTCTTTGGTCGTTGGAAAACATCTGCGCTACCATGGTCGCAAGGGAATAGCCAAGGGAGCCAGGAGCCGAGCGAGGTGGCGCCAGGAATTGGCTGAGTTGTGGGGAGCGGAGAGACGTCGGGACTTATACTAACTCTCGGCAATCCAAGTGGTGCGCAGCACGGTGCGCCAAGAGCTTCTTCAAGCTAGAAGTTAACTTGCTGCCCCGGGCGCCAGGCTCAAACAAGCCTACCTCAAGTAACTTTATCGCCAAACTTCACTCAAGGGATTGTGCAGGGGACGACGAGCAAGTCCCAGGACTTTTATGGGCCCTGCTACTGTTGTCCACCGTGAGAACTCAACGTGATGTCTGTCTCTGCCTCTCGCGCAATCCCATGTTTCTCATTCAATTGTTTTTGTCCGCGTCTCTTGTTGTCTTGTGTTGTGGCGCGAGTATGTCTGCGCCTGTGTGCTTGCGTGTGTATGTGCGCGCGCGGGTGTGTGTGTGTGTGTGTAACCCTTGGAGTCACAGGGATTCCATCGAATATGTGTTTTACAGCAGGGGGCAGCAGGGAGTCCACAGTTCCGTCAAGCAGATTGAGGCGCCGATCTGTGTACCTGCAACTTCACAAATCGCTTTCTCCTCTAGCGGACCAGGCTGGTTAGGTTTCTCTCAGGTCGGCAGATGTGCACGTACGCCGCCATCTTGTCGTCGATTTCTTGATTGTTGGAGCTTTGGAGGGTCTGCTTACTTTCTTTGTCCTGATACCCTTATGGAGTCAGAGGGCTTCCGTTGAAGTTCTGGCATGTCGAGCAGGGGGCATGCGGCCATCATGCAAACGCATGCCAACGAAGCTATGCGTGATGGTGGAAGCCAGGTCTGATCAACCTGCTGTACCTGCAAGTTGTGATGTTGTGTAATCGCGATCCCTTCTCTGTTTCAGGATGACAAGGTTAGCTGCTGTCAAGGGCTAATGCATGTTTCGTCGTCCCTGTCGGTTACTCGGCCGCCCATTGAGCTTTGGCAGCGGCCCTCCGTTTGAGTAACCCTGGACTCTTTTACCTCTAGCCTGACCTCTTCGGTGTTGACACCCAGGTTGCCGCGGCGTTCCGTTCAGTACGCGTTGTCTTGAGTGTGTCTGGCTTCGTGATACAGAGCAGCTCGCAGCGAGCGTAGGAGGCATACGCCAAAGTTATTAGCCAAGAATTGCTGAAGTGTGACGCGCCGTGAGGTGACCATACCGGTCAGAGCAGCCAGCCATTTTGGCACGGCGTACGTGGCCGCAGCGGCCGTGGAACTCTCAAGACCCACTGCATGGGGTTTTTGCCGCAACCTTGGGTGCGCACGCAGCGTTGGTTTCCGGCCCCTCCATTTGATTTCCTTGTCATCCTTTTCCACTTCACACACATCTTCATTCTTGTTTCCTTTCATGTCCTTCGGACTTCATGTTCCATCATCTCACCTCTTTCCTTCTTTTGCGCGCGCAACGGCCCAGCCCTTAGTATGTACGCGCAATACCTTTAACCCAGGTTTCAGGTTGCCCAGGTTCTGACAAGAGGGCTTCCGTTGAAGTTTTGGCATTTTCAGCAGGGGACGCGCGGCCATCATGCAAACGGATGAGAATGAAGGTATGCGTGATGGTGGAAGCCAGGTCTGATCAACCTGCTGTACCTGCAAGTTGTGATGTTCGGTAATCGTGATCCCTTCTCGAATCTTGGAGGCTGTTTCAGGATGACAAGGTTAGCTGCTGTCAAGGGCTAACGCATGTTTCGTCGTCCCTGTCGGTTACTCGGCCGTCGATTGAGCTTTGGCGTTGCGTTTGAATACCCCTGGGCTTTTTTTCTCCCGCTAACCTGACCTCTTAGTTGTTCACATGTAGGTTGCGGTGTGGCGCGCGGTGTTCCGTTCTGTACGCATTGTCTTGAGCGTGTGTATGTGAAACCTTTGGAGTTGCAGGGAACCTTTTGGTCTTTTTAGTATTTGAGTCAATTGAGCAGAGGGCAACCCTCTCACCGTGATGGCCATTGAAGAGGCCAACGGTGAGAGCTGCAAACGCGCCTGCAATTTTGAGCGTTGAATCTAACTGTAGTCTATTTGCGACGGCGATTCACCTGTGAAGCTTCGCTCTCGTACGTTTTATGTGTCCCAAGTGCATATGTGCAATTCCTTTCTGGAAGAGTTCCTTGTGATTTTTGGGTTTGACCTGTCGACTTTCAAACTCTTAATTGCTTTGTGGACAGTACGCCTGCAGATTGAACTAGACGGAGAGATGCTCACCAGGCTGAATTTCTGGACGAGTGTGTGTCGGGTGTCGCGTCCCGTGCCAGAAGCAAAACTCTTATTGTTTCTAAGCAGCAGGGCGTACGGCTCGTCGTGCCCACCGTGCGCAATGAAGCTATACGGTACAACAAGGGAAGAGTGGAGTCATCATCCACTTGTACCTGCAACTTCTTGACACTCATGGAACCTAACAAAAAACAACGCTGTTTCCTTCGTTGTTTTGCCGTGAAGGGCTAACGCAGCAA